CCCTGCCAAGTAACTCAACAGCTGACCCCTCTAACGCCAGATTTACTACAAAACCCCACAGCGATGCTTCACTTTTTGCTTTTGCGAGGGAGGGAACCCTTAATTCGTGCCCGACTGGAGCCCTGACAGGCAAATTGGCAAAACGATCATAGCAGTCACAACTTGCAGAATGACTCAGGAAACGACTCATTCAGGCTTGCAGAAATATAATGGCTTTCCCAAGCACCACGGTTCGATCTAATGGCATAAAAGTAACAGCAAAAGGGTTAAGTCCATTTTCACGAGAACGTGATGCAGAAAAGCCAGGTGCAAATAATTCAAGTTTGCATCTTATATGATTTTAGTCTGATTTTTTTTTGGGGGGGAGGAGGTACGGAGAGAAATGGCATTAAAATGTGTTCACAAGAATTAGACAGAATAGATAAAAAGTGTCTTCTTACGTTATCTTTACTGCACACCACGGAAGAGATGCTTTTCCAAGAAAGGTTATTCAAAATGGGAAAATGCACATTAGGATAAATGAAACAAGGTATCGCTGCGAATGCCAAATGCCTCCTCTACTTTTTCCATGAAAATTCTGTGTCTGTAACCAAGTACCTTAGCAGCAACACAGCAACTACCGTGTTTCCCCGAAAATAAGGCCTACCCATAAAATAAGCCCCTAGCAGGATGTGTAAGCACGTGCCCAATAGAAGCCCCACCCCGAAAATCAGCCCTAGTGGTGGGCGTGGCTATGAAGATCAGCCCTAGCGATGGGCGTGGCTATGAAAATCAGCCCTAGTGGTGGGCGTGGCTATGAAAATCAGCCCTAGTGACAGGCGTGGCTGCGCAGCGCATCTGCACAACCCATGCGTGTCGTCGCGGAGCGGGAAAGAACACGAGCAGCCCTTCTCATCCGCCCCGTGAGAGCTCTAGTGCTCGACAGGAGAGATCGGGGCCGGTGGCTCTAAAGGAAACAGAGTCGCAAGACATTCAGGATGGGATTCGGGGTCTGGAGAGTGAGGATGATGTTCCAGAAGAAGACGACTTCACTGTGTTTGAATCAGTGCAGATGGTTGTACCGTGCTTAAAAAAAAAACATAACACATCCCCTGAAAATGAGCCCTAGGGTGTCTTCTGGAGGAAAGATAAATAGAAGACCCTGCCTTGTTTTCGGGGAAACACGGTACAAAGGACAGCCTTAACCCAACAAGCCCCAACACAGAACACCAGCCCTCCAGGACTGCTTCAAAGAGGATAACCTTGAATTTGGCACGGCTAGTTAACTCTTATCAAAGGCTTAATTGAAGGGAGGGATATTTATGGGAGATTATCTAAGGAGCCTTTTAATCACCACCTATACTTAACTAGGTCCTAGTCTTGAATCACTTTCCAGGCACCAGGAGATCTGCATCATTTTCTCAGCTTTTCTTCTGCCCCCTAAGAATTACCTGCGCTGATTTATACATTCACCTACGGCCTCGGCATGTATCAAACAGGATTTGCTGTAAACACTAGAAAGGGCAGTTTCCATGATTTGTCTCTTATGCCAACTGCCTTATAAAAAAGTTTTTCAAATTCTCATTGAATGCCCTGAAGAATTAGCATGCTTTCCTTTTTCTAACAGTGAAAACTATATACCCTGCTGCTGTATTTTCCTTTTGCCTGGAACCTAAACTCAAGCCAAAGCAGGGCCACTATCTTATTCCACTGGCTCCTAAGAAGGTGAGCATTTATTTCCTCTTTTCCATGCTCAAGATGGGTCTACTTCTTTTTTTTTTTTGGGGACAGACTCTGACTCTGTCGCCTGGGCTAGAGTGAGTGCCGTGGCGTCAGCCTCGCTCACAGCAACCTCAGACTCCTGGGCTCAAGCAATCCTCCTGCCTCAGCCTCCTCCCGAGTAGCTGGGACTACAGGCACGCGCCACCACGCCCGGCTAGTTTTTTATATATATTTTTTTAGTTGGCCAGTTAATTTCTTTCTATATATAGTAGAGACGGGGTCTCGCTCTTGCTCAGGCTGGTTTTGAACTCCTGACCTCAAGCAATCCACCCGCCTCGGCCTCCCAGAGTGCTAGGATGACAGGCGTGAGCCACCGTGCCCGGCCAAGATGGGTCTATTTCTATTGATGATTTATTAATCTACTACCTATAATCTGTTAATACACTAATATGTTATTTAACTTTGTATCTTTTTGTGTTTATGTCTCTTAATATGCCATTTAGCATCTAACTAGTTGACATTTACTGTCAAACCTTTTTGGAACGAAGGAAGGTATAAGTAAAGGAAAATTAAAACACACTGCAACACAGATGCTGTAACAAGAATTGACATGAACACAGCCCCAAATTAATCATGTCAAATTAATCATGTCAAACTCTAGACTTCATTCTTTTTTTTTTTTTTTTTTTTTGAGACAGAGTCTCACTCTGTCAACCAGGCTAGAGTGCTGTGGCATCAGCCTCGCTCACAGCAACCTCCAACTCCTGGGCTCTAAGCGATCCTCCTGCCTCAGCCTCCTCCCGAGTAGCTGGGACGACAGGCATGCGCCACCACGCCCGGCTCATTTTTTTCTATATATTTTTAGTTGCCCAATTAATTTCTTTTCTATTTATAGTAGAGACAGGGTCTCACGCTTGCTCGGGCTGGTCTCGAAATCCTGACCTTGAGGGAGCCTCCCGCCTCAGCCTCCCAGAGTGCTAGGATGACACAGACCGTAACCCTTTGAAGTGACATGGTACAATCATTCCCGTTGGACACACGACACGAAACAGACCAACAGGCCCTGCAGGGGACTCGTCCAAAGACAAAACAGAAAGGAAGTAGGGGACGGTCCGATGCATCGTTCAGCCCCGTTTCCCACCAAGGCTATGCCTGGGACAACCCCAGAGCACCTGCTAAAGTCAGCTGACCAACCTCCTCGCCGCTGGCTATGCGGTGGGCCAGGTCTTTCAAGTTTCTCATCATCCTTTCATCCCGGAAATCGTAAGGGAACGTTTCTGTCCATTCCGTCAGGAGCTGAAGGATTTTGGGTGCAATTTTTCTCATCTGGTTCTAGGGAGAAAAAGCAAATTTAATTCAGCAGGATTTCTCACCATGGAATGCATCAAATAAATAATTGCAAACGGTGCCGCTGAGAACCTTCTAGCGCAGAGTCTTTGGATTTGAAGATGAGGCTCCGGCCCCCCTCTCTCTCCACCTCAACGCTGAGTGCCACCAACTTAAGGCGGGATCTCGGGATCTTTCGTGACATTCCGTCTATGCTGTTTGTTTTTTTTTTATATATCATTCGCAGTCTCCTCCAGGCAAAGCTACTGCGAGGCCCTTTATGCAATTCAGCCCCGGGCATGAGCTGGGGCAACTTAAGGAAACCAACTCTGCAAAAATCTAAGCCTCAGAGTTGGCAAATCTAATTGCAAGATGGTGAAGTTCAGGCCAGGCGCGGTGGCTCACGCCTGTCATCTTAGCTCTCTGGGAGGCCGAGGCGGGCCGATTGCTCAAGATCAGGAGTTCGAGACCAGCCTGAGCAAGAGCGAGACCCCTGTCTCTACTATAAATAGAAAGAAATTAATCGGCCAACTAATATATATAGAGAGAAAATTAGCCGGGCATGGTGGTGCGTGCCTGTAGTCCCAGCTACTCGGGAGGCTGAGGCAGGAGGATCGCTTGAGCCCAGGAGTCTGAGGTTGCTTCGAAACCAGGCCCCGTGTCAAAAGCAAGGAACCCCCTGTCTCTACTATAAATAGAAAGAAATTAATTGGCAAAAAAATATATACAGAAACAATAGCTGGGCATGGTGGTGCCATGCCTGTAGTCCAGTCCCAGCTACTGGGGAGGCTGAGCAGAGGATCGCCTTGAGCCCAGGAGTTGGA